TACACTGAATCATATAAAATTATTTTTTGTGTATGTCATACATTGTTGACAACAGCAATTTCGTATGGTTAATGCTCATTTATTTATTTTTTTATAGTTGAAGGTTGTCAATACATACCCATGCTGTATTTGTGGTAATTCTATATTTCTGATATATTTAGTTATTAACTATGATAGTCGTGATTTATCATGGTTAACATTGTTAGATAAAACACAGGACACCCAGTTAAGTTCTAATTTCAAATAAATCGTAATTTCCTAACTAAGTATGTCCCATGTGATAATTGACACATACTCTATCAGAAAATAATTTTAATTCACTAAATTTGGCAACACTAAGCAAAGCATTTGTTAAGTATGAGCTGATGTGGTAGTTTGCGTTTGTAAGTCACAGAGCTTGAATCACAACTGAACTTGTGCAGAGAATTAAACCTAAAGCAAATTCTGTATAAATGAAAAAGAATTTGGTGATATTCCTGGAATATTTATTCCTGAACATTAGTATTATATTAGTAATCTCCAGTAGAATACCTTTGTCCTATGCTTACCTATTAAACACTAAACCACTAATCTAGACATACAGTTTTCCAAAATAGAAAGTTGAAATAGTTCTGCGGTTTTGTTAAATGAAATAAACTATCTTTAAATTATGAACTTCTGTTCCCCACACCAAGTATTTTGGTGAGGCAGAATTTATGGAGTAGATAATGGGTGAGCAAATTTCGACTTCTCTTTCAAAAAATCTTCAGATAGATCTAAAGGGAAGAACTCTTTGCTCATTTTTTTCTTCAGCTTGACTGTTTTAATAATTTCTTTCTGAATGTTGTCAGTGAACAGCCAGAAAGACCTAAAAGCATGAACAGTTGACATTTTAATGTAGAACTGGAAAAAAATTATTTCTTGTTCTCATGAACAGTCTCTGGTTATAATATACCCCTTATCATGTTCATAAACAATACCTCATGTGTATGGAGTTATTCTTTATCTGGTCTTGACTCATTATTTTTAAGGCAGGAAAAACATGTTTTGTGTTTTAAAAACTTTCAGCCAGAGGTACCTTTAAGCAAAGCCAGGCATTGCTTAAAATATAAAAATAAAAAAAACAAAGCTATCAACCAGACATTTCATGTTTTTGCTTTCTGTGGTAACTCAGTAATAGCCTGGGCGAATTTTCTTTCTTTTTTAAGATTTTATTTATTTAGTTGAGACTGAGAGAGCATAAATGGGGGAGGGGCTAAAGGAGAGGGAGAAGCAGATTCTTCACCAAGCAGAGAGCCTGACTAGCAGGAAGTGTGCCACAGGACTGGATCCCTGGACCCAGAGATGATGACATGAGCTGAAGGCAGATGCTTAACCGACTGAACTACCCAGGTGCCCCTCAATTTCTTTTCTTTTAATCATTTTCCCTCCACTGTCTTCTTATCAGAATTGGGCTTTAGATGAATAGATTTCACCATTCCTGGTATAAAGTTTTTGATATACTATTTTTAGGTTAAAATAAAAATCTGGTAGCTATGGAATGTGTAACCCATAAGCAGAGTTCTAAATAATTTCCCAGGACTAAATGATTAGTAGAGAATTACTGGAAGATCTATTGAAACTGTGTGGGTGATGAGTATTTGAACAGTTTTGCCAAAATTACAGAAGTAGCAAAAATAATAATCCTAATCCAATATCTATCTACTATTATAGTTTTAATGCAAAATAAAGTTACCATACTTTATATGCTATACATAATCCTGCAGTCCAAGAATAAATGGTGGAATTTCTTCCCAGTTTTTCTGCACTTGCAATTTAGCACTGCCAGATTTTCTACATAAATGAAGCTATTAAATATTTCCATTTCCATTAATTCATTCGCTTCTAAAGTCCCTGTCTCCACTTAAATAATCTTCTCATTCCTTGGTGGCTCTAGCTGGATTCCAATCCATCCATCTGCCATCCATCTTGTGGTAAACAAGTCCTACAAAATGATTATCCCTGCCTTGGGGTAGTTAAATATATATTAGATAATCATAAGCATGAAACCATGTGTCTGCATAAACAGCCTGTACCTTAGCAGAAGGTAGACTAGTGTTAAGATAAATGACATCTATGTTGCCAAGGGACCTGCTTAAACAAACCGAGAGATGCCTGTCATATTGAGACATATTGAGACATATTATGAATATTATTATTGATAATAATATTTGATGGTGTAGAGGTGGCCAAAATTGTCTCTATAAACTTCATTGAGAGTCACAAAGATGTAAAAGCCTACACCAATGAATAAATGGAGATGACTTTTGAAATCCTGTGTTATAATGAAAAAGAGATGTTAAGCATTACTAGTAAACAAATCCTGTTTTGCTTTTTGGGTATTTGTTTTGTTTTATTTTTAAGGTCTCATACATGCAAGTTCAAAGAGAAAAACTTTAATCATTATAAAGTTTCCCAGATGCAGCTGGTTGACTTTAAAAAATTACATTGATCTAAACATATGGTAAACCTGCCAACAGTGTTGGTTTCCATAAATAAAATACCTGGCTTCTGACAGCCCATGCTCCTCTGCACCTATCAAGGATCGTTTCCATCCACCCAATTCCTAATAGGCAGCAAGTGGGTACTGTTTCCAGAATAGGCTATTTAAATTTGGATGAGATTTGCTGAATTAGTCAAAGACATAGCTTCTTTTTCTTTTTTTTTTTTTTTAAGATTTTTTATTTATTTGACAGAGAGAGATCACAAGTAGGCAGAGAGGCAAGCAGAGAGAGAGAGAGAGAGGAGGAAGCAGGCTCCCTGCCGAGCAGAGAACCCGATGTGGGACTCGATCCCAGGACCCTGAGATCATGACCTGAGCTGAAGGCAGAAGCTTAACCCACTGAGCCACCCAGGTGCCCCAAGACACAGATTCTTATTTACTAATATCAAGGAGAGAAGTCAAGGAAGGAAAAAGGATAATTTTATCCTTTTTTATTTTATATTTTAAATTCCCTCAGAAAGAAATGATTCCCAACTGATGGAGTCATAAACTTCAGAATTAATCAATCCTTCTTTAAAATAAATGTAAAATATACAGTATTTTGTTATATATAAATTTGTATGTGTATATATACATATATATGTATATGTATGTGTGTGTACATATATATATATATGTCTACTTTTATGAATTTGAGTCTTTAACTTTTTTTTTTGACATTTTTATTTTGTTTTCTAAAAACTTAAAAAAAATTGCAATGGCCCAGACTCATCCATGTCCCTGAGATATATGATAGGTTCTAGGTTCTTAATATTTCATTTGGAAATTAAATAGTTGTTTTTCCTTTTATGCCATCTTCAGTCTCTAGGAAGACCAATTTTCCAAGGTAGTTCAGAAGAAATAAGGGAAGTAATCATCAGTAGGAGTGATTGTTCTGTTTTTAAGGACACTTTTTCTTTCTTTTTAAGTTTTTTTAAAGATTTTATTTATTTACTTGAGAGAGAGAGAGCGAGCGAGCATGAGAGGGGAGAGGGTCAGAAGGAGAAACAGACTCCCCACTGAGCAGGGAGCCCGATGTGGGACTCAATCCCAGGACTCCAGGATCATGACCTGGGTGGAAGGCAGTTGCTTAACCAACTGAGCCACCCAGGCGCCCAAGGACACTCTTTCTAATGAGCTTCTCCTTGGCCCTTAGTGCAAAGGAAACTATCTGAGTTCCTCCTTAGGAAGTAATCATTCTCTGATCTTTCAAGAAAGAAAGCTGCAAGACTGGAGCATTCTAGTGTAAAATTGGTGGCAGATACAGGGATGAAAAAATATTCTGTTTTTCTCATAGATATTAATCAGGAAAGACCAGCATCAATGGATACTTCACCAGGCTCTGAAAAGGCTGATGTCTGGATCCTTTGCACCAACATCACTATGAAAATTTTTGACATTGTTAATCCTAAATCTGAGCTCATTTTAGGTCACAGAGTCTATCATATGCATCAAGTCTAATATATACATTTAGTTATATGAAAAAGTACTATCTCTTAGAAATAATACCTAGCTGTTTACAGGTACTCCTATTTCTGATTCTGTATCCTTATTATTTTCATAATATCTAATATTCTTATGGCATTAAGTACAGTGATATAAATGTCTATTTACTGTGTTATATCCTATATTAGACCATATGTTCCTTCAGGCAAAACACTTGGATGACTTTATTCATTATTTTAAGTCAAATCCATGACTTCTGACCTATATTGTTAACACACACAAAAAAGAAATTGGTTGGATTACTTTAAAAATTAAGACAAAAACTAAAAGGATTATGAGAAACATTTAATATGGGCTCAAAGCTAAAAAGCAAATGGTATAAGCAAAAAAAGATAATTTAAAAAATAAAGTAGTTAAAAACATTATATTAAAGAATATGAAAACAAAACAAATACATAAAATGGTATTACCAGGAAAACAAAATAAAAGTAAAACAATAAACATGAGATTCAGAAGTTTGTATATTTTACGAAGTGTTTAAGAAAATGTTGTTGAATTGAAAACTTAAAAGCTTATCAGATTGTAAAATACAATACCAAGTTTAAAACCAGCAAAGTGAAAGTAAGATAATGATAGATTTTAAAAAAATCAGTGATAGAACATAAATTGTTTAAATGCAAAACAAAAATCTATTTTTAAAGTTAAAAATTTGTACCAAATATTTTTAAGATTGCTAATGCAAACTGAAGAGAAGACAGAAGTTACTAGAAACTGAGTCTCCAAAAGGCAGTATTTGTTTGTCTATAAGAAATATTTTTTGTTCCTAGTTATCATCATATTTATATCTTTGAAAAATTACAGTTGATTCAGACTTGAGTTTTCATGATTTTTGACTTAGATGTTACTGTGAAGACAAACTTCATAGTCTGTTGACAAATTAAAATAGATTGACTTAAATCTATCTGCATTTGTTTGTTTTCAAAAATGCAAAAAAATGTTTGAAATGTAATGGCAGTCATAATATTGGAAATCTTATATATTTTTTTCCCAACAGCCACTGAACTATGAGAAAAAGAAATCATACACTCTCACCATAGAAGGAGCAAATACACATCTTGATTTCCGCTTTTCTCACTTGGGTCCTTTTAAAGATGCTACCATGCTGAAGATCATTGTTGGAGATGTGGATGAACCACCCCTCTTTTCCATGCCTTCTTATGTCATGGAAGTCTATGAAAATGCCAAAATTGGGACTGTCGTTGGCACAGTTTTGGCACAAGATCCTGACAGTGCTAATAGCTTAGTAAGGTATGGTATCCCATAATCTTGTAGACATATAAAGTTTTTTATTGCCTTTCACAATAATTCAAAATGAATAAAATAAAATGTGAAATAATTTATTTCCATGTTATTTTTATTAAGGTGATTAAATTAGAATATTAATTAGGTCCTTGGCTGAGTATTGTAGCGATGGGTTTCTGTCAAATTTAGAATGCATGAAGCTATCTCCTTCAATGCCATTGACAGTCAATAGCATGACCTTGAACTGCACAGGTCTGCTTGTAACACATGGATTTTTCCTTATAATACATGGATTTTTTAATAATAGTACTGCAAATATTTTTTCTCTTCCTTATGACTTTTTTTAAAGATTTTTTATTTATTTATTTGACAGACAGAGATAACAAGTAGGCAGAGAGAGAGAGGAGGAAGCAGGCTCCCCTCTGAGCAGAGAGCCCGACATGGGGCTCCATCCCAGGACTCTGGGACCATGACCCGAGCCGAAGGCAGAGGTTCCAACCCACTGACCCACCCAGGCGCCCCTCCTTATGACTTTCTTAATAATAATTTCTTTTCCCTAACTTACTTTAGTGTAAGAATATAGTACCTAATATATATGAAATTTGAAATATAATATAATCAACTATTTATGTTATTGGTAAGGCTTCCAATCAACAATAGGCTTAGTATTTAAGTTTTTGGTGAGTCAAAATTTATACGTGGGTTTTCTGCAGTATGTGGGTTGAGGAGATCAACACCTCTAAATCTTGTGTTTTTCATGGATCAATTGTATATTGTTGACCACATAGATTACATTTTTTATTTGACTTAATAAATGTGACTGTAATTGAATGAAAAACTTATGTAGAAATATTTAGCTATAAACTAGAGAATTTTGAGTCCTTAGTGATAAGAAATATAGCTATAGTACAAACTAATGATTTCGGAATTATACTCATCTCTGCCTCCTGGTTCTGTTACAATAGTTATGTGCATTTAGGAAATCATCTACCTTTATCTGTTAAAAAAAAAAAAAAAAGTCTATCTCTGAGAGTTATTGTGAGAATGCATGAATCAATGTTCATAAAATGCTAAGTAGAGTTGCCTGTGCTTAGTAGTCCCTCTATAAATTCTAACTTGTCCAAGGAAGCAGAGAGTGCTATTTAGAGCAGTACTTACTTTCTGAAGATGGGAAGATCAGGGTGGGAATTCTGGTTTCTTGACCTATTAACTGTACCATCTTCTAGTTAATCAAGCTTGCTGAATCTCAAATATATGATCAAGGAATAATGATGTTGTGTAAATACGTTGATAGAATTAATTTAAACTGATATAAAATGCCAAGCACAGTGAGTAAATGCTCAATATTTTTTATTGTGCTGTGTCATGCAGTAGTGATAATGAAAGCTTTTCTTGCATGATCAGAAAGGTGTTTTCTTTTTTCTTTTTTTCCCTCAATTATGATAAAATCAAAGGTTTGATGCATAGACAAGGCTCTTTATTTACCTTGTGTTTATACCCTTTGATAATCCCAAGGCCCTAGAAAGTTTGAAATCTTTAACAAATTTGCCTGCTCTTTCCTATCAAGTCCTTATTCTCAGATTCTTCATTTATTATCCTTAAAAAAAAGCAATTATGGCAAATATTCTCCTTGGTATCTATGTTATGTGTATAAAGGGTTTCAATTTTCTTTTATGTAAGCATTATTATTTCAGTTAAAAAAGAAATGCCTGCTGTACTTATGCATTGACAGAAACCATTTTCTGTGCACTAATGTGTATATTCAACAATCCTATTCCATCTGTGAGTACAAAAAACAACACCTTGTCAATTCGTGACCCCTCTGTCACACTTACAGCAAGATTTAAGCATTTTTTGAAGTTGCAGGATAGGCAAACTATGCAAAATAATATGCAAAAACCCAACTACAGAAATTGATCTCTGATTAAAGGATAGAAATATAAGTCAATATGTTTAGTTATCAAATGAAGGAGAAGCCCTCTATGCTTCATTACTCCATGGAATGCCATATTTCAGCAATATTTTTGACATATAATAATAAGTAAAATTCTTCTAACAATGTGAAAAACTATAACATTGTAAAAGAGACATAAATGTGGCCATCCTTTATCAAAAGGAGACAATACACTTTGAGAAGAATATTTCATACTCTTAGTTTGATGTGAAATATTTGATAGATAATGATGAGTTTCTTTTGAAAACTTAAGTTTGATATTAAAGAGGTATTCTGCAATATATATTTACAACATAACACATTCTAAAAATGCTATGATCAGATTTAGAAATATTTGCCAAAATTAAAAAAAAATCTTTCTAAAGTATCTTAAAAAACAAAAAAGAAGAAGAAGAAGACTAGTTCTAAAAATGGTGTCTAAAAATACCATTCCAAAATGGTAGACCAAAGGGAAGAAAAATTGAGGTCAAACACAAACTTCTTTCCGTGTTATTCTATCTATCCCAATGTACACAAAAAACTTATTCCACAAAGGACAGTGGTTCTTACCCAAGGATACCACCACACACACACCAGAGGATATTTGGCAGTATCTCAAGAGATGTTTGGTTGTCACAACTGAGGGAGGAATATTATCATCTGTGGGTCGAAGCCAGGGATGGTGCTAGAACATCATACAATTTAGATGTTTAGACAACAGAGAAGTTGCTGGTCCAAAATATCGATAATGCTGAAAATGGGAAACCCTGACACAGAGAAAACAGAACTGGGTTGTCCATTGGTAAAACCGGAGGACTAATTATTTTCATGGACAGAAATCCTGAAAATACATTTGTGAGGATTACATACCACTATGTATGTTTCACATTCTTGCACAGCCATGTGGATGTTTCAACATCTACCGTTCATTTAATAAAATAAACTATTTATATATAATTGATTGTCCCATGATATTGATGGCTCCATATTATTAGAAACTTTTAATTGAACACCTGCTATGTTACATACATTCTCCCAGTTTCTGGGATGCAAAGATGATTGGTATATTATCTCCTAAGGCTAATAAAGAGACCTAAAAATCCATTAGCAAATGCATCATCCTTTTTATTTTGTTTTGGTTAGAAAACTAAAATGAATCCTTCCAGTGCTGCCTTCAAATAACTACACTCTATAGCTGCTGTTTGGGAGCATAATTTACATAATATTTATTCTTGATTTTAATAAAAATGTGTCATTCACAGGGGCCTCTAGGGGTAAATAGTAAATAAAAAACAGCAAACATTAACAAACAGAAAAGCAAGCTATACTTCCACCTTCTCAGGGACCAAATGTTTGTACTAATTAAGGAAACGTACTTTGAAAAGATATACCTTGCAATGTGCCCTGAAATACAATTAACTGCAAGTTTGCAGAATTGATAATGAAAGGGAATTTGAGTCTTAACAGGCATTTGTGCAAAGCTTTCTGATTTCAGTCTTTGTGTTTCAATTTTCTAAACTATTAGTAAGATTCCTCAGATTTCTAAGAGCATACCAGGTTTAGCTTCTGTCTCTTTTAACTCCAAACAAGAATGTGCAAATTGCAGCAATGTAATCATCACCTTTTATTTTGAAAATAAAGTCAGAACCAGGCTATTTACTAGCATTGAAGAAAACATTGATTTAAACAGACTGCACTTCCTTGTTAGTGTATTACAAATGGAATTCGGGAATTTCCTGTGTAGCACTGAGGGATGAGCAATCCTATGCTGGACATGAGAAGCTAGAGGGCTTTCTAGAAAGTGACTGTTAAAAATAGTGGTTGTTCATTGCTTGCTGTCTGTGGGCCTAGGGCTTTATACAGCATGCCAAAAAGTCCTATAAGAACCCTAAAGTGTCTATATTACTCATCCCATTCTACAGATGAAGAATTGAGGGCTCAGAAAATTAAGTAATTTGGCACAGTTTCCTTAGTGATAAAGTGATTCAGATTTGAGATCCGTTTTTACTTTTTCCCCAAAACCCTGTTTTTAGCAATATTCTGCTGCCTCTCGTATATCTCAACTAACAACAACAACAACCATAAAAACTGCATTTGCAAAAGTCACATATCATAAAGTAGGAAGCAGATGAACATTTTGCATAAAGTAGGAACCAGATGAACATTTTGCATTCATTCATTCTTTTTTGGAAAGAAATGGTAATTGCTTAATGTGGTTCCATAGCATTCTAGAACTCAGGAGCAGTAGCATTTGTGATATCTTAGTTACTTAGAGGCATGGATAACAGGGGAAATAATTTTTTCGTGCAGGGAATTTTCTTCTTTAGATATTTTTGTTTCATTGGATCAGGATTTTGGTTCAGGAAGTTAAAACACTTCTAAAAGCCATTAATTAAATGCCAGTCCCCGGGATCTTGTATTTGTGTCGATGTCTTTCATACTCTGCAATGAGGGATCTGAAGACGGTCAAGTCTCATTTTAACTCTAGCATCTCAAGAGCAAAACTGTTCTTAATTTTAGAGTCTCTTCATACTGTAAAGTCTAAGACATATACTACTTGATTTAGTACAACAAAAAGAAAATCATTGAAGTCCTTGATATTTCTCATAGGATGAAAGGCTTTACTATAAATTATATTACTAAGTATTTCCCCCCATCTTTACTTCTTTTCTGCTGTGGTTCATAATATGATTTTATCTATACATTTACTTATTGTCAAGATTTTTAATGTTTTCTTTGTATAATAAACTCAAAACAATCAGAGGAAATATTAAATATGTTGGATACTTGTGTCAAATGTTCATCATGACACTATTTAGGAACAATAGCCTATTTACATGCTAACATAATATATAAAATTGTGATCAGATTTAGAAATATTTGCCAAAATTAAAAAAAAAACAAAACTTTCTAAAAATCTTAAAAAAAAAGAAGAAGAAGAAGGAGAAGAAGAAGAAGAAGAAGAAGAAGAAGAAGAAGAAGAAGAAGAAGAAGATGACTAGTTCCAGAGAATTAGAAGTGTTGGTTCAATCTGTTTGGAGTTTAGCTGTAGTTACAGTGAGTAAACACTTAT